CGAGGTATCCATATGTCGTGGAAGGGCCTTTTAGTCCTGATACCAAAGATAGCTTTGTTGTCTCCTGATCGAATTAGTTTCGATCTCATGAGTAGATGAGTTCACCATACTGACAGGACATAGACCAAGAATATGGGACTCATGAGCTGGGTGATTTAGCAAATCTCGTGATGGCTGATATCAGTGTCCGTTCATAGTTAGAAATCCCTACAACAGGACTGACAACCGTATTCTGCTGCTGTGTGAACGTGGCCTATAAACAAGAAATTGTTGATCATGTTACATGACCATGACATGCTGATCATGAGTGGCAGCACGACAGTCTCACTTTCAATTCCTGGAGGCATATACTATGTTTTTAAATAAAGCACAATTGAAACTGTATGTTTCTGTATGATATATATTAGGAGTCTATGCACATTTGGACTTCAGGAGAAGGGTCTTCGTGGAGAGAACACTTATCCTATTTCTAAGGCGCAGACGAATAGCAGCTAAAGTGAGACGGGTGGAGAAGTAAAATGCTGAAAGAGAAAGTTACACGCTAGGTCACATTTCAGTTTCAATAGGAAGGTCGCATGGAACGAAAAGCAGCCACGATCCCAAGAAATGGAGTGCATGTCTGCGTCTATATTGCCTAAGTATAAACCCAGGTAAACCTGCGTAATGCATTGCTGTCTATCTGAATACTCTTCCTTTCTTTCTCACTTGCAAATGAATATTATTTGTTTTGCAGGAAGGAACAGATTTTGCAGTCTTGTATTAACAGAATGATTCTTCATTGACAGTTTTATGCATGTAATGTTGCTATCATATAAGAAGCAATTTCAAAGAACAGATTGCTGTAAACAAAAATTTAATTCTGTTAAATCTGTTTTGCTTTGTCTAGGTCCCTTTATTCTCTCTCTCTCTATCATAACTAATGCAAAGCTTCAGACCTCAGTTTACATTGCATATGTCCATCATTTGTGTGCATATGCTCTTCATGTACCTACAAATCAATAATTCTGCGTCCCACTTTACTGTATGACTAGAGTGTTACATATTCCAGAAGTTTTATGCAATCATAACGCAAGAGGGAAAAAAGCTGACAATGATATTCCACGAGAGCCAGGAGACCTGCTCCCAGATGGCAAACTCAATTTCGCATTTAAGCAACATAATAGTTTGCCAAACACTTCACAGCCCCTCTATGCTTTCCAGCAGCCAAATATCTGCTACTGCTGCTCTTTTTTCAAATCCTTAGCTGTGTAAGTACGTGTATGTGGGTCACCGAGTGTGGTGGTAAACATTGTGTGGCTAGAATTCAAGCTGAACACTGCAAGACCTTGGACAGGGAAAAGTTGTGCCGAGGAGAAAGTCTGAGGAGAATGAATGAATTGAGATGATAGCTACACTGTAAAAAAAAATTTTTTCAAGCTGTGGTTGCCGGAATTTTACCGTAAAAAATACGGTAGCAATGTTTAAGGTTTTACAGTTTTAACTTAAATTTACAGTTAAATACTGTAATTTCTTTAATTAATATAATGTTAATATACCCACCTATTGTTGTTCTGAAATCTGTTTTGTACCTTTGTAATACACTGATAACCACCAAATGCAGGTGGTGATGAGAAAGTCACATGATGAGCCAAAGCCCACCACAAGCAGCTTTTAAATAATAACATATATAGAAGGTGCACAGTGTCATTCCCACAAACACTAAATTTAATTGATTAAGTTTTATAATTTAATTGAACAACATTAGGTGTAACACACAACCCTAATATACTTCAGTTTTTGTCATTTTTGTCAGTTTTATAATTTAATTGAACAACATTAGGTGTAACACACAACCCTAATATACAAAACTGATAAGAAAAAATTAAGAAGAAAGACAGTTATTAAAAAAAAAACATCCAATTTGAAATGTAACACTGGGAATTCTGGGAATGTCAATTTACGGTTATTCACTGTAAATTATACGGTCTTTTTTCACTTACAAAAATTGTATACTACCGTAAAATTAATGCACAATACAGTTTTTCACCGTATATAGTAGGGGAATTTACCGTTAACCCTTTAACAGGTTTTTACTGTAGCTTTTTTACAGTCTTTTACCGTTCAATTCACCGTAATTTTTTACAGTGTATAAGGTGAGTATGTAGCACACTGTTCATTGCAATGATGGTAAAAGTAGTGGCAGACTTATACATCAGCCAGGCTTATGGATGATATTTAGCCTTAGCATTGATTAACAACGGTGTTTCAGCTATAGAAATAATCAAATAAAAAATAAATTGATGATAATGATAATAAAGATAGTATTAATATTACTACTACTAATAATAAAAACTACATTTTAATAAATAATGCACACACACACTTAAAAATTTTATGTTTACTTCAATGTGTTTCTTGTCGTTTTCAATCAGAAAGTGAATCCTTCACCAATTTTTTTTTTTTTCAGTGTAGATTTTGCCAAGATGTGTTTTAAAACTGTTGACAAAATCTTCCAGGTCCTAGGCTATAAGTTCTTTGGCTACCCAGCATGCTCTGTACATTTAAGTTCTTCCCCATTGTTATTCAGTAAAGCTGAACTTTAGCTTTGCCACTCAACTCATACATAGTGGTCACAAGACAGCTATTACATAAAGCTACAAACAATCTTTTCAACAATTGCTGAATAATGAATGCGGCGAGAACGCAGGCCAAGTGTGCCAGCTTCCACTCATCAGGAATCACCAGGAATTAAGGATAGGCATGAGGACCAGAGTACTCAGAAATGACAGCAATGACTGATCATAAAACAAAATAATAATCAAAAAAAGCTTTGAGATTAGATCAGAATATTAGAATGATTTCTGAAGGATCATGCTGCACTGAAGACTGGATCTATTGATGCTAAAAATTTATTTTTGCCATGACAGGAATAAAATACATTTTAAAATCTAGGCTGTTTATTTGGTGTATTTTTTATCAAAGAAATGCAGCCTTGGTAAGCATAACAGACAATAGAGGCTGGTATCACAATGACGTGAGTTTTTATAGAGTTGTATGGCTTAATTATTATCTGCCATTATAAAAGGGATTATCTAAAAACAATCCTTTCTAATTTTCATTAAACACCTGCTATCAATGGGTTTAGGATAACAAGCATGTCTGTACAGTATACTCAAAACGCTCAATGTGACAGATTACCGTGATAACACAGATAACCTTAATCTTAACTGTGGCATGAGGCCAAAATTTACACATTTTTGTATTCAAATCTCAAAGTCTGAACTGCCACCCATTCACACAGAGGGTCCAGACTGGGACTATGACTCTTGTGCTGTGACGGTGTCAGTGGTGGTCTGGGCCTTGGATGTGGAGAATGCAAATGTTGCTGTGAAATATTTTTGGGGCTCAGCTTTAATCCAGATTCAGTCCCTGCGTGCCACAACATCTTCTGAATAATGAATGAGACGAGAATCCAGGCCAAGTGTGCCAGCATCCACTCATCAAGAATCACTGGGAATTAGGGATGGGCGTGAGGACACGAGAACCTAGAAGCAATAGCAATGAGCGATCATGAAAACAATAATTACATGGCTTTTTGTTGAAACATTTCACACTGATTGCAATTCAGCAAAACGAGCCAAATGTGCATTCATTTTAATTCTGTGATTGGTTACGGTGTCACTTTCACACGACCTTGATGCATCAGACAGAAATTTGTGTCAACGCTATACACTGTGGCTTTCAGTTCAAGGTAGCACAGTGGATAGTCTCTTCTTTTCGAACAGTTAAGACAGAATGCAGATGAGCGCAACAGAATGCATTTTTACCGTAACTTGACATAGCATCTTAAAAACACAGAATAAAGACAAATCAAGGTTGTGTAGTCCAGAGGTTTTGACATCATGGGGACCCCCAGGAGGCCGCAATAATGTGCTAGATGGTCTGTGAGAAACCTGAGACAAGCTAATGACCTCTTTTGACCAGCCAAAAACCATGAAACGCCAGCTACCATCACAAGCTGCCTTTAGCTGGGTTCATCAAATGGTGAATTAAGGGACAAGATTCAGATTCTCCTCATACTCATTTCATATCTTTGGAAATCACTTAAAATCAACATAAAAACTAAATCTGTCCTATTTCATTTTCAAAATACACTTTCCTGCTCAAACTGTGAATGATTTATTGGTTCATGTTATAAAACTTTATGTAACTTAAAAAATGATAAATAAATGAATCAGCTTCCACTCATCAGGAATCACCAGGAATTAAGGATAGGCATGAGGACCAGAGTACTCAGAAATGACAGCAATGACTGATCATAAAACAAAATAATAATCAAAAAAAGCTTTGAGATTAGATCAGAATATTAGAATGATTTCTGAAGGATCATGCTGCACTGAAGACTGGATCTATTGATGCTAAAAATTTATTTTTGCCATGACAGGAATAAAATACATTTTAAAATCTAGGCTGTTTATTTGGTGTATTTTTTATCAAAGAAATGCAGCCTTGGTAAGCATAACAGACAATAGAGGCTGGTATCACAATGACGTGAGTTTTTATAGAGTTGTATGGCTTAATTATTATCTGCCATTATAAAAGGGATTATCTAAAAACAATCCTTTCTAATTTTCATTAAACACCTGCTATCAATGGGTTTAGGATAACAAGCATGTCTGTACAGTATACTCCAAACGCTCAATGTGACAGATTACCGTGCATTATAACACAGATAACCTTAATCTTAACTGTGGCACGAGGCCAAAACTTACACATTTTTGTATTCAAATCTCAAAGTCTGAACTGCCACCCATTCACACAGAGGGTCCAGACTGGGACTATGACTCTTGTGCTGTGACGGTGTCAGTGGTGGTCTGGGCCTTGGATGTGGAGAATGCAAATGTTGCTGTGAAATATTTTTGGGGCTCAGCTTTAATCCAGATTCAGTCCCTGCGTGCCACAACATCTTCTGAATAATGAATGAGACGAGAATCCAGGCCAAGTGTGCCAGCATCCACTCATCAAGAATCACTGGGAATTAGGGATGGGCGTGAGGACACGAGAACCTAGAAGCAATAGCAATGAGCGATCATGAAAACAATAATTACATGGCTTTTTGTTGAAACATTTCACACTGATTGCAATTCAGCAAAACGAGCCAAATGTGCATTCATTTTAATTCTGTGATTGGTTACGGTGTCACTTTCACACGACCTTGATGCATCAGACAGAAATTTGTGTCAACGCTATACACTGTGGCTTTCAGTTCAAGGTAGCACAGTGGATAGTCTCTTCTTTTCGAACAGTTAAGACAGAATGCAGATGAGCGCAACAGAATGCATTTTTACCGTAACTTGACATAGCATCTTAAAAACACAGAATAAAGACAAATCAAGGTTGTGTAGTCCAGAGGTTTTGACATCATGGGGACCCCCAGGAGGCCGCAATAATGTGCTAGATGGTCTGTGAGAAACCTGAGACAAGCTAATGACCTCTTTTGACCAGCCAAAAACCATGAAACGCCAGCTACCATCACAAGCTGCCTTTAGCTGGGTTCATCAAATGGTGAATTAAGGGACAAGATTCAGATTCTCCTCATACTCATTTCATATCTTTGGAAATCACTTAAAATCAACATAAAAACTAAATCTGTCCTATTTCATTTTCAAAATACACTTTCCTGCTCAAACTGTGAATGATTTATTGGTTCATGTTATAAAACTTTATGTAACTTAAAAAATGATAAATAAATGAATGAATAAATTAATTAATAATTAAATAAATATATAAATAAAATAAAAAAAATAAAGAAAAGTCTTTACAGTTATTTATCAAACCATAATAACTGAATCTGTCTCTGAATAGTCTTAATTTGCATTTATGTATTTAGCGGACACTTTTTCCAAAGCGACTTACAAAAAAAGGAACAAAGCAATTTGTAAGAGCCAACAGGTTTATTACACAACTAGATTAGGAAGCAAGCTAGAGAAGAGGAGGTATGCAGAGAAGTCTGAGGTCTCAGCAGTTTGAGTGGATGTTACCAGCTCATTCCACCAGAGAATAACAGAGAGGGTGAAGGTTTTGGAGAGTGACTTTTTGCCTCGTATACTAAATATACATATATACTAAATATTTACAAATTTGTCAGCTTTCTTTTTAGGCATAAGCAAATATCACAATTATGCTCATAGCTCCAGTGAGATTGTCACGGTGCTTTCCAAATTCTTCGTTTCAAAGTTTGGAATACATGTAATGCACATGTAAACAAATATGTGAATAGGACTGAAAGGTTTGAGGTACATATAGTATTAAACATAACTTTCAAAATCTAAAACTGACCGAAATTAGTGCATACCTATTATTCTGTCTCTACTTCAGTCAAATTGTTCTTGTTCTGTCAAATGCTTCACCAGTCTTGTTTATTTAAATTTTTAAGACCTGAAAGAAAAAAAAATCAACTGCCTTAATATGAGCACAACAATGGCTGCGTTTCATTTATACTTGGCATTAACATGCGACCTGAATCCGGATGTTATACATTGAAAAGCCAAGTGTAATCCGATTAGAGTGTTCCGGTCCAAACGTAGTCGAGGACACATTGTGATCGGATCTCAGTGTAATGTAAACGCAATCCAGCCATTGTGTCTGCATTCGCAGGTCAAAGACACGCAAAACCCTGCCCCCCTCTCTCCCAAACTGTCAGAAGACTTATTTAAATATTGCACGGGAAAGAGAGATCCAATCAGTTATCCAGATAGAGAAGTCACTTGATGTTTCCAAGTGTAAACATGCAGTGTCCAGATAGGCCCTAGTGAATAGGACTGAAAGGTTTGAGGTGCATATAGTATTAAACATAACTTTCAAAATCTAAAACTGACCAAAATTAGTGCATACCTATTATTCTGTCTCTACTTCAGTCAAATTGTTCTTGTTCTGTCAAATGCTTCACCAGTCTTGTTTATTTACATTTTTAAGACCTGAAAGAAAAAAAAATCAACTGCCTTAATATGAGCACAACAATGGCTGCGTTTCATTTATACTTGGCATTAACATGTGACCTGAATCCGGATGTTATACATTGAAAAGCCAAGTGTAATCCGATTAGAGTGTTCTGGTCCAAAGGTAGTCGAGGACACATTGTGATCAGATCTCAGTGTAATGTAAACGCAATCCAGCCATTGTGTCTGCATTCGCAGGTCAAAGACACGCAAAACCCTGCCCCCCTCTCTCCCAAACTGTCAGAAGACTTATTTAAATATTGCACGGGAAAGAGAGATCCAATCAGTTATCCAGATAGAGAAGTCACTTGATGTTTCCAAGTGTAAACATGCAGTGTCCAGATAGGCCCTATGATCCGATCTACTTGATCGGATCACGGTGATCGCATGTTAATGCCAAGTGTAAACGCAGCCAATGTCTAACTGCTTATGTATTCCACAGGTGCTTCCATTTAGAGGGACATTGCAAGATAACAAAACAGCACAGCAGGCTTTTTTATAACCTTCAAACGAACATGTACTCAAAGAACAGTTTGAAACCAACAGCCAAAGTGAGTGAAATTTTGTTGTGTGGAGTGTTCTAACAGAAGCCCTAATAAATGGTGATGCATTAAAGGAGAGGCTGCAGATTGTCTCTTAAAGCTCAGTGGATTATTGATCAGTAAGTGCTGAGGGATTCTGCAGTCCTCCTGTTCCGGCTGAACTGAAGTGTCCTGAGCCCCACACTCTGTGTTAATGTCAAAAACTTCTGACAGTCCCCTGAACAAACACGTCTCAACAGGAGAGGATGAAAAAGGGGGAAACTAAAGCCATGGGGAGGGAGGAGGAAAGAAACACTTACATTTGTACAAAAAAGAAAAAGTGGACTGGATATTGGATTCCAGACAACAAAGGTAGACTCCCTGTAAAGTGCCCACTCTTTTTCTGATAAAAAAAGCGTCATGCCCATTCAAACTGTGCCCCCTCAAGAGTTTTGAGACCAGCAAATTCTGAAAGCTGCTGAAATTTTTTTTTTTTTACTCTAAAGAATGTTGGGTTGAAAGTAACCCAATTTGGGTTTTACAACCCACAGATGAATCAATTGGACAAACACAATAGTGGGTTATTTTTGACTTTTGGCTGACGTTTGGTTGTTTGGATGTTTGGTCGTTCATTTATTCAACCCAGCATAATGAGTTGAATTATACCAGTTAATTTTTACAGGAACACTATCTTTTTTATCTCTGGATTAATATTTTCAGATTAACCTAAATAATCAGATTTAAAAAAAAAAAATAAAATAATAATAATAATTTAAAAAAAATTAAAAACTATTAAATCTTTTAAAATTCTGTAAAGTACACTACACAACCAGAGTGTCTACACAATACATACTTTATTTTGGATTAATAAAATTTAACATACAGCATATTTTATGCACTTTATATCATGTATACATTATTCCCTACATTTACACTTGCTTAACAAACATTTTACATTTAAAAGTAAATTAATTCAAGTGTAACCGAGTTTTTATTTATTTTAATTTATAATAATTTTTTTAATCTAAACTTTTTTGCCTAAACTGTGCTGGAAATCACATATTCACACATGTTTGATCTGTCCAATCAAGTTGCACCTCCCACAGATTATCGGTTTTAAATTGAAAATGAAATTTTACCCACTTACATGTCACTCCGAACTCAATGCTTTTGTTTCCCAGTGGAACACAAAATATTTATTAAAATATCAAAGCTCTGTGCAACGATCATTGGTTGTCAAGATCAGCTGATTAATTCATAAATAAATTGAATAATGTTGTTATATTAATGGCCAACATTAATTTAATACTTTCTCATGAACAACATAAAAATATTCAGATATTCACTACATTTTAAAACAAGTAATTTATTCCACTCCCCTCCTCTTTTATACATTTTACCTATATACCCCTCAAACGTCAGGGGTCATTGGGGTCAAATAGGCATAATATTACAAAGGATTTCTATCTAAATAAATGTTGCTCTTTTGAACTTTCTATTCTTTAAAGAAGCCTGAAAAAAGTATATCTTGATTTCCACGGAAATATTAAGCAGTACAACTGTTTTAAAATGCTGATAAATAAGAAATATTTCTTCAAATCAGCATGTCAGCAAATCAGCATAATAAAATGATTTCTGAAGGATCATGTGGCACTAATGGCTGCTGAAAATTCACCTTTACCATTTTAATATATATTAAATTACAAAACAGTTATTTTAATTGCAATAATATTTCATAATAAGTTAACATTTCACAACTTTTGCATGGTACTACTGCAGATACTTGGCACTGGCTCATCTCTCCAAAGGGCAAAAAATAATCCAGGACTGCCATTGGTGCACCCTTAAAAAACACAGGTGCACGACGCCGTGTTTCTGATGTAACGTTTAGAGTGTGAACTGACGCAGTCTGTCTGTTGCTACTCTTCTCACGTCCACATAAACAGAGGATCAAACCTCTGTATGAAAAGCATCTCGCTCATCTCACAGCTGGTCTGTTTACCTGCTCAACACACGAACAGATTAATACTCTCTCCCTCTCTCTGTCTATCTTATCTCATAAACACATGCGTACACACACACAGATTAATGCTTTCTGTTTCAATATGTCAGCTACACAGGCACACACTGATATGACATTCTGTTTAATGTCTCTGGAGTTAAAAAATGAAATGGATGTTTTTTAAGGTGCTTAGACACAGCTGTTGGTTCTGCACGCTGCTGTGGGATCACCTTGTTAAAAATGCCTCATCTGATCTAAACGGTAATGACAAGTCGAGACCTCATGACCTCATGACAAGGCCCACACAGAATCCACCCAAAATTTGGCTTAGTTGATCATGCATTAAGCTATGAATGACAGGATAGTACCCTCAGCTCAGTTGAACACATTTTACCATGGTTAAATCCATTCAGCTCAGATAATGTGAAACAGTCTGTAGGGTCTGTGGGAGCCTGTTTTTGAGCGATGGATTACACAGGCTGGCAGTGATTGATTAGCTGTTGGTGAAACTTGGACACGCAATGCATTACACATGGGCGGTAGCA